TTATTTATTCAATCATTTATTTATTCAATCATTTATTTATTCAATAACTTATTTATTCAATAACTTATTTATTCAATCATTTATTTATTCAATCATTTATTTATTCAATCATTTTTTTATTCAATCATTTATTTATTCAATCATTTATTTATTCAATAACGTATTTATTTAATCATTTATTTATTCATAAATGGATAACGGTGTTTTTGCTGTTATTTTTCTATTTTATTTATTTAATTATTTATTCATTTATTTGCTTGTTTATTACTTTCTCTAAACCTCCCTGTATAATTCAAACACCTTATTGCATAAACTTTCCCCACGATTTTTTTTATTTCACGATTTCATAGATTGAATTATTCATTACCTATTTTTCGAATTCAAACACACCATTTCCTCGAACAAAACGACTTTATTATTACTTTAACGTTTAGCAACAACGAGAAATATTTCGTGTTTTATCATGTTTAATTATTAAACTTGATATTAGATTAAATATGCTTTATGAGTGGCCACTCCATTTTCGCGTCATTCTGATTTTTACTACACTTATTTTGCGTTTCACTTTTAGGTAATAAGCGAAACAAATTTTAATATATGTAAATAAATTTTACATCTTTGTGAAAAATGTTTTTATTTATAATCTAGTTGCATTTTGTTTCCTACTAACCATGTTTTCATTCTTCGTTTCTTGTCAATAGAGCCAAACCCAATCATGTCAGTGCTAAAAACAGGTTTTCTGGGTAAGTTTGTGTTCTTACCAAGTAATGAAACTATATGTCGATAAATAACTAGATATTTTCAATGATAATAAAAATCTTTTGAAAATGAGATAAGATACACAAAGGATAGATCATATCAACTGCATAGTCATATTATATCGACACCAGGGGGAAACGTTTGCGCATGCGTGCACTTCAGCACGTTTTCAAAGAATTTTGAAGAGTTTGAGTGAGAAAATAAATGTTTGTTTTCTCCAAGTATGCAAAAATGTTCGAGAGTATACTTTTGTCATTCCAAGATACTGTATTAGCAAACCCAATATGAAAGAATTAGTCTTAAGTTTCAAGCATGGACACTAAGTTTTGGCATTTTGTGAAGTCCAATTTATCAGGCATGTTTGAAAGTCAAATTTACTTATGTTTTGACTAATTTACATACGGATTCAGAGCATGCGCAGACGTTTTTCACTCGTGTCTATTATATCAACCTGCAGTCTTTGAAACTAAAGAACTACTCGACGTCGAAAGCTACTTTCTCTTAAAAATGTTACCGCCATTTGCATTGCTACGCGGCCACCCCAGACAAAAATCGCGACGTGCACTTTGCAATAGACTGCCGTCAATCAAACGCTCCGGCCCTCCCGTTGCGTGACGACCGACACTAAAAACGGATGCGAGGGAGACTAGGATAGGCCCGGTGAGTGTGGCTCATAATACTTGTAAGCGATCGACAAGTTTTGGCGCCTTTTGAATCACACACGCGTTTAAATGGCGTCAACGTGTTTGATTATTACAGCTAATAAGGAAATAAATCATTGAATAGTTCTATAAATACAAATAAAGGCTATATACTCATATACACTTAAATTTAATTTCGGAAAACACAGCATAAGATATCTCGGACCAGTTTTATGGTCTAAGCTTAAGAGGAACGTTAAGTCATTAGATACCCTAAGTAAATTTAAAAGACACATAAGAACACTTAACTTAGG